AAGAGTGGATCAAAACAGCAACTCACAATGTCCCAGAGGCTGGCACAAAGCCAGAGTCTGAGCAACTCAGGTGAGCCTCCTGGGAGGTCTGGAGGTTGAACTACATCTGTCTGATGCTGTTTTCTGCTACCTTGACTAACTAATTCTTCTGAGAGTATGAATAAAACATACACCCTTTAATATCGGTAGCACACAGCCTGCCTGATAGCAGGACTCAATCCCTCCAGAAGCCCAAACCCACAGCAAGCTTCCTCATGTTAGATAAGCAGTGCAAAAAATGCAACTGTCTGAATTTGTAACAGAATAAAACCTGAAGGAACAAATACATTAATCAGCTAGTTTGCCCTCTTGTACAGTGCTATTTGATGAACAGTGACAATGCTTGTTGTACAAAATGCAGTTAGTTTATAACAAAGTTGTTATGATATGGTGACACTGTAGCAGAGGATGCTCTTCTAACAAAAGGGCTAGTGATGTCAGCTAAATAAGTGTGCAGATTGCACATCCAGTAACTGCACTTCATAGCACAGCAGGAAAAAATCCCAAGCAGTTGAACCCTATTACATATGTGGATAAATGAAACATATAGAAGACATGAGCACAGACTTCCTCCTATGGTACATAACTTGGCCAACTCTTGAGAAGGGTGACCCATTTGTAATGAAGAAGGAAATACCAGAAATAATCTCTGAAAACACAAGAGCCAGAGTAGTTCCCTGGAGCCATCCGCTCCATGGTCATGTTTGTTTAAGTGCTCAATATATAAATACAGACAATATGTATGTGATGCAATTGCTTTCATTCCTTGCAGGTGATACAAAATATTTTCTTAGGCCCTGATCTTGCCATTGGCCTCACTCAGCTAAAGCGGTCTGCTCTCAACTAATTCTTGGGATGCATGGCCCGTGGAGGGGACTAAGAAAGAAAAACACTTCCCTCAGCTGCAGCAGAAAAAGAGCGGATAGTTCTATTACAGTAAGGAAAGCAGAAGTGTTTTAACAGCATGCTGCACCCCGGAGACCTGGCTGAAGCACCCTGAGCTGTGCTCACAAGCTGCTGCACAAGGGGAGAGGATGGAGCCAGGCGGGTACCGCAGCCAGGGTCTCCCTTGGGCTGGGGCTAATCGTTGTGTCGCTCTCAGTTGGCCTGCCAGTAAAAATATCCATCCAGTTTCAAAAGTTTAAAAAATAGAAAGAATGATTTCCTGAGGAAATGGAAATGTTAAACACTTGAAAGTGAAACCACATGCTTATGATGATGAAGTGTAACTAAAACAGCTCTGAGAGCGGTATCTTTGGTAGTCAGATCCTCCTGCTTCAACGCAATCCTGTTTAACACCTGCAAAGTCACCCAAAACGAGTGAAAAGCTGAGTGGGTCAAAACTCTAGGAAACCAGCCATTTCTCACTGACACCAAACTCTTTATTTAGAAAATCCACTGGCAAATTGTGTGGGCATGCAAGTGAATGCTTTATCTTCCTAACAGAGTAAAGACACAGATTAATACAGAAAAGGTATTATATAAAATGCCATCATACGTATTCATAAGATAAATAAAGATAAACAACATTTATTCTAAATTCTACTCACTAATTTTTCCCTTTACTTTGTAGCTGATGTATTGAAATAATACTTTAAAGAGCACCCAGTACATAGAACACACCAAAATAGTTACCCCTGCATACAGAAAATGCCATCATCATTCAAAGTCTATGGCCAAATTTGTTCCCTGACAGATACTCTGATTAAGGTTCTGAAAAATATCTAAGCACACACCTAGGAAAAATAGTCCTATTAGGAAAATTTTGTACTGATCAAAACACACCATTGATGAAGTGAAAAACACAAAACAAAGTAATAAGGAAAGTTGCTGCTTCTAAAATCTCTGACTTTCAAGTAAAAGGAAGAAAAAATCTAATATTTTAATTAGATAAAAAACTCCCCATGCCTCATGAAGATTTTAAAATCTTAATTTCCCATTTAAATACCTAGCATTTTTTTTCTGGCTCAAAATATCACCTTAGCAAGTTTGGAGAGAAACAGTGGTCTGCAGAGTGACCAGTTCCCTCCTTCTCTTTCCCATTTGCAATATAGATGTGGGTTTTGATGGGTTAGTGGTGAGCTACAAAACTGGGTGTGGACTCTTGGCTGAAAATCAGTCTTCTCTGATGCTGTTTCATTCAGTGTAAGCTGCAGGTGTACTTCTGTTTCTGGGCAGAAGCCCTCATTTTGAAGGGCTACTAATCCTGCTGGCGAGGTTTCCTTGTGTAGAAGTTTGTGGGGTGGGATGAGCTCAGTTTAAACCTCCCTATTCAAGTCTACAAAAGCCAGGAACATATTTTTGGCTTTTTGGTCGTTACTGGTGCAGCCAATGATTGTGCTTATGTACTATCTCTTAAGTAGCATTTTTATTTTTCCTTTTTAAAATACTGTCCCAAGAGAAGATATTTCAAAGAAATGCATTGGAGAATTGCCAAAAAGACATGCACCATGCTGCTGCATGGGAAAATTTGGACTTGGCCTCTGGATCTCTGCTCTCCTTGGCATTAAATCAGCCGGGGTTAAAACTGAGTAAGATCCAAACGCAATGTAATTCTGCTGCCTAAAAAAACCCAAACCCAAACCCCCAAAACAAAAAACCGAAAAAGCCACTCAAACAAAAAACACCCCTCCTTAACACCTGGAAAACCCAAAGTGGAAGAATTAATTGTTCTTTTCCTGCTCATACTCAATGACATAAGACAAGAACTCATCTTCCCTTCCCAATTTTTTTTTCAAGGTGAATCAAAATCTTTGAAACAGACGTTGTTCCAAGTCTATTATTTATCTGCTGTTCTCTTCCTCTAGCCTGCTTTAGTCCAGAATAACAGAAAGCACACCAAGCTCATTTGAAAGTATTCAAATACAAAGGAACCCTCACTCCCTACACTCAAGCTGGACAACAGGGAGCAGCATCAGAGCCAGAAGGGGCTAGTAGTCAGT